TTTTTTTTTAATAACTCTGTGAACATGTTACTCAGTTCTGTTTGGGAGTCCTTCAACAAGATTGTTCTGTGAATTGACACTGTGGAATACATTATATTTTCATAAAATTTGAAGATTCTTTTGATGGTGAGGTAAAACAAACTAATCTTGGATAGGTGAAAGGCAGAACACTTTGTTGCTTATAGTTACAAAATAGACAAGGCTGCCACACTGAGAGTTGAATCAGGAACAGAGTATCAAGGGGCAGCTTAATTATGGCCAGTGAGAGTAGGATTAGCTAGGTTCCTCATTTTTCCTGTGGATTTGCTAAAGGGGAACATTTCTCTGATTCCTGGGAATAAGGGTTGTCCCTAGTTCTCTGGTAACTAGCTCTGGAGTGTGGAGCCTGATGAGGGAGGTGGTTGGGGTGGAACTTAGCAAACTTACTGAAGGAGAACTGAGAGTTTCTGGGACTAATACAGAAAATTGTTGAATGCAAACTATAAATCACCCATTCTCACTTCTAAAATCTAATACCCCATTTCCTCCTTTCACTTTTGTCCAAAAATATCTTTTATACCCAGTGTTTCCTTGTTGTGTTTGGAATTTTCATGGAATTAGCATGTCTGTGTGAATTCCCCATTTGCATCTTTTTAAACTTCAATTTTCTCCTGTTAAAAAAAGAAAAAAGAAAACCCACAAAATTTTAAAAATAAAAAAAAGCTTTCAGCTGAAAAAAAATACTAGATCAAGACAACATTTATAAAATATTATATTACATTAATATTTCCCTTCCTCCTCCTAAATTTATGGAAGATAACTGTGTGAATGAAGTTTCACAAATATTCAATGCTTATAGTAAGGGGTCCAAAAAGGCAGGGATTTCCACACTGTAGTAGGAATATCAAATATTACTTGAGCATGCCTTTTTTGGTAAGTGTTTTGTGAGGTGTTAATACATGTCTTTCTTATTCTATTCAGCTAGAGATAACAATAGCCACACAATTCTGGCATGAAGATGGGAAAGGACAGTTGTATAAGATAATTATACCTGAGTCAAATTTTGAAGAATTTGTAAGATTCCATTAAGTGGATAAGGGGCAGAAAGAGCATTACGGATGGAAGAGACACACACAAAGGCACAAAGAATGAGAAAGTATATTGAGGCTTTTTATTCACATTCAGTATGACTACACCACAATTTATTGGAAAGGTAGGTAGAGGCCTAACAGTGGATAGTTTGATACACCATGCTAAAGGCAAGTGAGAAAGAACAATTAAATTA